GGTTTTGGAATGGGAAAATCCTCTAACAGGCTTGGCCTTTTTCACTTTAGGGAGCACATGTGTGGATCTAAATAGGGTACCAGGTGTATTATGACAGCCCAGCAGGCCCCGAAATAGTGTGTACTCAAAGCTCAGCCAAGGGTTACCAGACATACCACCTGTCCTTCTTGCTCTACCTCCCTCCAAACTTCTTTGTATCTTCCTGGAGGGATTCCTCCTCCAGGTCTCCAAATGCCTTCTACTCTCTGGGACAGTTGGGGTAATGAGACCCTAGATACCTTTGCTGATTCTAGAGGCAGATGAGGGGGGCACTAATGTAAGTACCTAGGCTGGACTAAGCTCCCAAGAAGCACACCCCATGAAGGTCCCTTTGTGAACGTCAAGCTCTGGTCTGGGGCCTTGCCTGTAACACAACTATGAAGGCTTCATAGGAACTACTGGTTCTCATATACCATTACCTCTGCAGCCAGCAAGAACTCTAACTCGCAAATTTACTGCCAGCCACAAGACGGCCTCAATCTGACTTAACCCACGTCCTCTTGAAATTTCAACTGCCTCTTTGTGTGCTTCTTCTAGAAATAAGGTCACGGTGGGGATGGGGAGGGGGGTGGGAGGGAACTAAAAACAATGTAAAGAGTGTGTCCTGCCATCTTCCTAGGCTAAAGATGGCAAACAGTATGGGAGTTTTCCCAATTCATTCTCACGTCATCTTTAATAATAAAGATGGGACAGGTATGCCCACACCCATTTAGCAAATAGGCATTTAGGTCTAGAGAGGGTAAAATGATATAGCAACAGCAATGGACAGCAAGTGGAGGAGGTGAAGTTTCCTTCTTCTCCACGCTACTCTCCCATCCCACTCTACTTTGTTCTGGAGCAGTCCGGAACAAAGCCCCCACTTGCTTCACTGTGCCTGAGAGAGAATGCTGCTGAAAAATGGGCCAGGAATAAGGCAAATATGTAGGATAAGCCTGTCTTCTCCTCCCCAATTTTTCTCCTTCTCCTGGATCCCCACTGATCTCCACCCCCATTTTTCCCCCACCCTCAGCCAACCTGAGACACATTTCCAAGGACTCAAAATGAGTATAGAAACTTCATGCTATGGTCAGTAACTCTCTCTGTCTCTGGCCGTCTGTCCATTTGTCTCTCTTTCTCTCTACCTCTCTCTTTCTCTCTCTCTCTCTCTCACACACACACACACACACACACACACACACACATGCATCACAGGAGGATAAAATTTGAATATCTGAGTCCTCTGAGAAGCTCTATTTGATGCAGAATCATTGCTGCCAGAACCTTGGAAAGGTCACCCATCCCCATAGAATATCTTTTCCAGTACAGGGAGCCAACTTCATGGATGACTATCTACACTGTAGAGGTGGACCCCTAGGTAACAAACCAGATAAATATGATTAGAAGAGATTCTCTACTTTATCCAAACAGGATTCCTGGGCCAATGAGGTAGTATAAGATGCTAACCTAAAGAATGAATAACACCAAGTTCATGGGCCCAAGTCCCTTGTAGGTTATGTTTCTTTGGAAACATCACAATGTACAGGGAAATCATAAGCCATCCCTTAACACTTTGGATAATCAATAGCAGGTTTATTTTTTTAAACGTTTCCTCTTTCTTTCTCACTGAATTGTGAGAAGACTACACCAGTCTCCTAAAACTTGGGCAGCTGAATTTCCTACATTCGAGGAACTCACAGGAGCCAGTAGGAATCAACCATTTCCCAACCTGATCATTTCCTGGTCCAAAGGTTCTCCCATGACAAATACGAGGTAGCCTTTTACATTCTCTGTGATCTTTCCCCACTAATCACCCTTTCTCAAATCCATCCACTCCTGAGATGTCTCCACAAGCTATCTCTAAGCATGTACTCCACACCAGACCCCAGCTGTTTTTTTCCATGACACCAAAGGAGGTCCTCCAGCATTTCCCACCATGATTCTTGCACCTTACCTCTTTCTCTGCCTGACCTGAGATCCTCACAGTGATTTGGAAGCACTAAAATAGTCCACTCCTCCTCCCTGACTTCAGCAAGAGTCTGTAATCCAGTTCCTCACCTACTGTGGAACCACAGTCTGGTGTGGAAAGAGTCACTGGGAGAGCTGTCAAGACTAGATACACCCCTGAATGGTACTGCCCCATGGCCCTTCACAAACTGCAGTACTACCAGAAGAATCAAGAAACTCTCCAAGTGGTAGAAAATATGATGGACTTTGACCCTACCCCTGATTCACTGTATGGCAGACCGAGACAAGCCACTCAGTGCATCACAGCCTCAGTTTTTCCATCCATTTCTCCACAACCTTCCCTGACTCTCTCCCAGGGTGACTGGAAGAGGCTTATGAAATAAGGGATATGGAAGCACCGTATAAATAGTAACACTGTATACAAATGGAACAAAGCCTCATCTTCATTCCACAAAGGGCCAGAGCTAGCATCAAAGATTGCCAGCTGGGCTGTCAGTCTTATTTAAAGACCACCCACTTGAACCTTATAATAGACATGAGGACACCTAAGCCCATGGAAGGCAAGTGATGCACTCAGGATCCCAAAGCTAATGAGTGGCAGAGCAGGGGCTAGAACCCAAGGTTCCAATCTGCCAATATAATTCTCTTTCTACGGCCTTCCTTTCCATCTGCATGTGTGTGCAGACTGATGTTATTTCCAAGAAGAAAACTGTATTGTTCTGAAGCAAGAGGAAACAAAACTAAGTCAGAAAAATGAAAAAGGGACTAATGAACTATGCCACACAGTGTCTTAGCAAGGAAAAAATACAGGCAATCACTGCACTTAAAAAAAAATACTACGGCCCCTTTACACAATGTTGGGGCTAACTAGGTTATATACAACTGGCTTTTACTGCAAGGTGCCAGGCTGTTTGGGAGGAATAGGATAAATGATGTTACCCCCTGCATACCTAAATGTGTGTAATAATGAGTTTTCATATAATAGGGGTCAACTGTATGTTCAGCGGAAAGGGAATCATTAAAAGGCACCCTACCTCTCAACACACGAGTCACTTCCTCAACAGCTTGGCCAAGGAAACCCTCATCTACCCTCAAATAATCCCCCAGCCAGACCACAAATTGCTGGCTGCCCCATACTTAGTAACACCCCCTGCTATGCTCAGCACGGGCTCACAAAACAATCCAGGGCCATAGCAGTAAGCACTCTCTGGGGCACTTCTCAGGATGGCTCAGCCCTGGGGAGAGGTGAAAAATTACCTCTCCCAGATAGGCTGTCTAAGCAGACTGGAAATTCTGTGGGTGGTGTAAGGAGAAAAAGAAAGGGAGGAACTGCCAGACCATGGACGAGTGCATAGCCCATTCTGACCTTGGTGGAAAGAGGGAAGAGAGGAGACTGATTAGAAGAAATTCCTGAAGGTCAGGATTCTCGCCTCCCCAAAATGGTTGTTTGAGAGTGTTGCTGTTTTCTTTGTTTTTTCAAAAAAAAAAAAAAAAAAGCTTATTAACTCTCTCCAGAGAATATTGGAGGGAGAGTGCCTTAAGAGGGGACATAACAATGGGTGACAAAGGCATCTCAAGGTGCTTCCAAATACATGACCACTGTGGGGAAGGGAGAGCCGGATGAAGATAGGGGTTGGTTATTGGTGTTTCCGGAGGCCAAAGACCCCAGGTTTCCCCGACAGCTCCTCAAAGTTTTCCCTCAGGTACCTGAGACTGCTCAAGCTGACTGGTACACCCCGTGGCAATACTCCAGGGTTCCTAAGAGTGTGGGCCCCAAGGCCTGAAGGACCTCTCCACTACAAGTTAACTAGTAAGTCCAGTACAAGGGGAGATGGCAGCACAGGTTACTGGGGCGTGTGGTAGGGCACTGGCCACCCCCTGCTGAGATGTGACCTCCCTTACAAAGCCCCCAAAATAGTGACATTTGTTCCCTGCTGAGATGCCACATATTTCTATCTCCAGCCCAAACCCACGTTTACAACCTCAACTGCAATTTGAGTGGGTTGGAAGGGGAAGAGTTTTTCAGATTTGAGCACTTATGAGAAACAAAAACAAAACACACACACAAAAATCGGGATGAAGTTCGTCAAGTTCCTTTCCTTGGCAATCTGGCGTCTCAAGGTGAATGGCCCTACAAATCTCTCTTCCCGGTAACAGCCCCCGCGGCCCCCACAGCCCCACACCCCTACCGGGGATGGCTTCTTTGCGGGGAGGTGGGGGGGGGGGTTCCTGGAGCACTCAGGAGAGCTCCTCTCCCCTGTCCTCCGCTGCAACTTGGCTTCCAGCAGATCACAACCTCCTAAAACAAACAAACCCTGGCGGCGGCGGCGGCAGCTCCAGCACAGCTGCGCTCCATGGCGCAAAAGTTTCCTCCACACTTCTCAACGTGCAGGAAATCTCGCCGGCGCTGAGGCAGGACTCCGGCGGGAGGGAAAGGCCGAGCCGAACCGGCAGGAGCAACGTCCGGCTGCTGAATGGATGTGCGCGCGTCCGGCCGTGGGAAGTGAGGCTGACGAAAGCCACCAGTGCCTCATCTCCGTTCCCACACCAGACCCTCGCCCTGCAACCTGCCCCGGCGGGATGACCCGCTGGTTGGTGGAGGGGCCAACGCTGCTAAGAGAGCTGCCAAGTGGCGCTGCCCGTCCCCCAGGGGCGCGGGAACTTCCAAGGAGAAACCCCCACCAGCCACCACTTCCTCCAGCTCAAACTGAGGGGAGCAACCGCCCCGACGTGGAGGAGCAAAAAACTGCCCCCAGAGCCTCCCGAGTGTGTGCGCACAGGGCTCTTAGCCCCGGGCCAGCAATGCTCCCATCCCGTGCTCCCGCCACCCGTCAGGGGTGTCTGCGCCCGGGCTGGCGGCAAGACCTCTCTGTTCCGCTAATGCTCCACAGGAGGGCTTTCACTCCCAGCCCCACCAAGTTTCGAAGTTGATTTGAGGGCCGCGTCCCGCGGCAGCCTGCGCACCCGCTAGTCCATTCAAAGTTGGGCACCGCTGGGACAGAGGCGCCAGTTCTTACCTTAGACACCGTGAGCGGTTCGCAGTGTTCCAGACCCCCCTTAAGGGTGAAGCCCCAGGGCGCCCCCCCTTGCAGCTGCACAGGGACGTATTGGAAGGACCCAGGCCGGTTCTCCATCCTCCGCTCGACTCAGGCGCCGCGGGGCTCCTTTTCCGCGGGGGCTACGTTGCCTCCGCCCCCAGCAGCTCCGCCACCATCGCCCTCCAGCGCTACGCCACCCCGCACCGCCCTGCTCCGCCTACTCTGCCGGCTGGAGACGCTCGGGCAGCGGGTGAGCGCGAGGAGGAAATGACACGGAGCTGGAGAAAGGGGGAGAGAGGGAGGGGGGAAAGGAGAAGGGGAAAAAAAGAAAAGAAAAGAAAGAAGGAGAGGCGGAGGGATAGCGCGTAATGGACATGAAAACGGAGCAATGGGGAGGGGCAGTCAGTGGGACCTCGCCTATAGGATCGCTGGGGAGCGGGCGCGAGGCAAGGCCTCACATCAATTGTTACATTGTTTCATTCAAGCTGCTCCCCCCACTTTGGTCCTCCTCCTTACGGCCGGGTTCTCCGCCCCTCCAGCCAGCCGAGGAGGGAGGTGAAAGTCGTTAGTGTGGATAGCCCGCGTGGCCGAGTGGGCTGAAACGCTGGCTTCCCGATTAGCGCGTTCATGTTTCTCTGACTGCCTTTTTCTTCTGAAGGTCCCCAAACCGGGTCCTGGGAGGGTTATAAGGCTGATAATTTGTGGACTTTGCCTAGAGGGATGGATGGAAAGTGGAGTAAGCAGGCCAGCGAACACAGTGGGGCTGTGTGTGTAGGCTGCTCAGTGTGTATGCACTAGGTGTGTGGGGTCATTATGAAACATTGCCCCGAGCATAGTTTAAATAAAGAAGCACTTTGAGGATGCCCCCTGCCCGGGCTTAGCCGCACCCTGGCTCAGCGCTGGCGTCTGTGGGTAGCACTGTGCTTGTGTATGTTCCAATCTGGAGTTTCTGGCACGGCCTTGCACTTGCCCCACTGAGATGACCAAGCCAGAAATCCGCAAACTGCTAGCAGACTAGTAGTATTGTTTCCACTCCTAAACAAACCTACAGGAAAGAACATCCATTGATAAGCTGGCCAATTAACAGTGTTGTGCCTTTTGGAAGAATCAGCTTTTAGACAGGATCCAGAACATCTCTGCTCATCTGTTCATGCTCCAGGCTGTAGTTTTTGAGCTGGACATTTAGAACAGACCAAACACACACACACACACACACACACACACACACACACACAGTAATAGTCTCAAAAAGTGAATCTGTTATTAAATCTCATGCTGATTTCTCAGTCTTGACCCAGACAAGTTCCCTACTCTCCCTGAGGTATTGTCTCTAAAGCCACGTGCAGGCAGTATGTTTTTCAAAGGGCCTCACTCTAGCAGGGAAAGTTTTGACAACTCCGTTGTGACTCAAGGGACTCTTCTACTGCCTCTTTCCTGTTCTGTCTCTTGCCCTCTTCCTGTAGAGCTTGTTCCTCATCACCAAAGGACACACTGTGGCTCCCTGACTTCTACAGTCAGCTTTCTGTGGACAAGGTTTCCACTCTTTACTACTCTTCCCTCACCTGTCAGACTCTTCCCCTTGCCTGCTGTGTACCCTGGCAGGCCAATGAAACTTCTCTCATAGGCCTCCCTCCCTGCCTCCCCCAATCTTTTCGTCTCAGCCTTCTAAACTGTCTGCATGATATGATGCTGACCTGACTTTTCTTTAATAAAACTGCAATTTGGGTGTTTATAGCCTCCCTTTTTAAAGTTCTTAGAGATGATTCACAGAGGAAACCTTTTAGACTTCTAGCCTACAAAAACCATTTCGATCATGGTCACTGTTTTGCATTTCCCCTCCTAGAAAGCAGAAAACTTGAGAAAATGGCATCTTAATTTCTTGACTCTTAGTTTTGTGTCAAACTATGACATTCATTTACTCAGGCCCATCTTGAAACTGAATTGAAACTGATTTTTTTTTCCTTTTTGTGATAAGACTCTAATCTTCATGATTATTGCTTGGTGGAACTCAGCATGTTTCAGTCTTAACATATTGAAATCTGCAAAGCTCAGTTCACAGAATAGGTAGTCATCCCTCAAGGTCTACTAGAATTATGTGTCTAGACTAGAGGAAGAAGTGTGGAAGCAGGAGACACATATATGAGTCCTGGCCTTGTCACTAGCTAGATGGGTGACCTTGGGCAAATCACTGAACTATTTTTAGTCTCATTTTCTTCTTTTGTAAACTTCAGCTAGTAAACCCTGACCTATCCACCTCTGGGGTCTGTTGAAGGTTAAAATGAAATAATACATATGAAAACACCATGTCTTCTTGCACTCTTCATTTTATCCTTTTTATTATTACTGCAGAAGAACATAAATTACCTAGCCCCTGGTGCAAAGAGCACATAAACAGACATTTTGAACATCAGATGGCTAGATAATGTTGCTTCTTTACTGATAAAAATCACTGCTAGTAGCAGGGATCTTATTATTCCTTCCAGTTAGTGGGAGCATGATTATGTGGTAGAAAGGGTACTGGGTAGAATTTGAGATGCCTAGTTTCTAAGCTGGTTCTGCTGTTAAATTGCTGTGTGAAATTAAAAGGATCACACCCCATCTCTGTAAATTGAAGGGATTGAGCTACTTGATTTCTTAAGTTTCTCTATAGTTGGCAAATTCCGTGACTACGTCCCAGCTAAGGGTTAAAAAGAGCATATGTGCAAACAAAGACTTGATGGTGGAGATGAAACAAGTGAAAATAAGTCTATGGAGAAGAATCCAGGGATGTTTTTCTGTGTGTGGGCGTGTGTGCACACATGGTGTGTCCAACCAACAGATAATGAATGCACTCTAACGTATGTTCAATTGCCTGTGGAAAAAAAGGTGGAAAGTCCAGTAGGCAGGCAAAAATAGGAAACTGCATTATAAGAGAAGGGTGGTGATTGATAATACACATTTGGATTATAGTTGAAGCCATTTGGAGTGGATAATCTCACCCAGGGGTAGCACAGTGGTAAGAAAAGGGAGATTTAGATGGAATCTTGGATTATGCTAATATTTAAAAGTCAAGAAGGATCACAAAGGATCTATAAAGGAGCAGACAGAAGAGGTGGGCAAAAGGCCAATCAGCAGAAACAGGGAGAGAAATTAAAAACAAGTTGTTTACTTCCCCCTTATTAAAAAAATCCTCACAAGTCTTTTCTTCATTAGAAATCTATTGACCAGTTTATCTTTTTGGAAGGAAAAAGACTAAAATAGCAGTCCTTCCCTGAACTTTTTTTTTTTTAATTTCCTTAGCTCCATCTTTTGTAAACTCAAATTTGAATACAATTTCCCTCATAAGAAGTGCCTCTAAATCCTTTCTGAACTAAGGATTCTTTTGAGCTTCTAGTGAAATCTATGCATTCCCTCCCTTAGAGAGCTACACATCATCATGCAATATTATATTCAGTTTGGGCTGAGACTTATAGACCAGAGCTTCAGAATCCTTGCTCTAATAAAATATAATTTTTTTATTGTGGTAAAAAACACACACATAACATGAAATCTACCCTCTTAACAAATTTTATTTATTTATTTATTTTCTCTTAACAAATTTGTTAAGTGTTCAGTATGGTATTGCTAAGTAAACTGCACAGTGTTGTACAGTGAATCTCTAGAACATTTTCATCTTGCATGACTGAAACTTTATACCCACTGATCAGCAACACCCATTTCCACCTCTCCCCAGCCCCTGGCAACCACCATTCCACTTTCTTTTTCTTTCTTTCTTTCTTTCTTTCTTTTTCTTTTTTTTTTTTTTTACTTTTACAAACTGTTTATTTTCTGTCAAGCTTGTTTCCATTTTGTTTGCCTTTGTGGAAGAGCAGCTTAAGACCACTCAGTGGTTGTTCCAACCCATTCAGTGGCCGGAGCAGTGGGGGCTGCAAAGCAGTCTTCAGTGGCCGGCTGGGCACTCCAGTCTTCAGAGGGGACTGCTGAACAGGCACAGAGGGCACCTGTGCGACTTCAGACCAGTCCGCAACTTCAGGCTGAGTAGCCGTGAACTCAGGAGCTGGAGCCGCCCATTCACCCTGGAGTTCTTCCTTGGTCACAGCCTTTTCAGCCTCAGCCTGCTCTTCCTCTTCAGTCTCTTCGGGATCTCTGTAGCAGTAGAGATCAGGCATGACCTCCCACGGGTGTTCAATGGAAATGGTGCCACGCAGGCGCAGAACTTCCCTGGCCAGCATCCGCCACATCAGACCCACTAAGTGAGCTCCCTTGTTGTTGCAAGGGACGGCAATATCCACATAGCACCGAGGAGAGTCTGTGTTACACAGAGCAATGGTCGGCAGGTTAACATAAGACGCCTCTGTGAGAGGCTGGCGGTCAGCCCTGGGATCAGTGACCACCAGAAGTCTGGGCTCTCGGAAGGCTGCATGGATCTGGTTAGTGAATGTTCCAGGAGTGAAGCGGCCGGCAACAGGAGCGGCTCCAGTAGCAGCAGCAAATTTCAGCATAGCTCGCCGGCCAGTATTCCTGGACGATACGACACTAACATCAGCTGGGTTTTTCAATGGCAACAATGGCACGGGCTGCCAGCAGAAGCTTCTCCCAGGTTCTCCTCAGATATATGGTGTAGATACCATCACTTTTCCTTCTGTAGATGTACTCTTCCATCTGGAAGTCAAGGTTGGTGCCACCTAAATGGGTTCCTGCTGCAAGGAATTTGAGGACATCCTCCTTCTTTATTTGCAGGACTTCAAGGGCTCCGGACATTGTGAAAGTTTCCTGTTAAGTTACGATGGGAATGCAAAACAACGCTGTATGGACCCTTCCCTGGGTAGCGTGGAAAGCCCATTCTACTTTCTACTTCTATGAATTTGACTACTTTAGATACCTCATATAAATGGAATCTTGCAGTATTTGTCCTTTTGTGACTAGCTTATTTCACTTAGCCTAATGTCCTCAAGGTTCCTCCATATTGTAGCTTATGACAGTATCTCCTTTCCTTTAAAAGGTTGAGTAATATTCTATTGTATGTACAAATCACATTTTCTTTAGGCATTTATCAGTCAGTGGGCATTTAGGTTGTTTCCACCTTTTGGCTATTATGACTCATGATTCAGTGAACACAGTAGTGCAAATATCTCAACATCCTCTCTTAAATTCTTTTGAATAAATACCCACATGTGGGATTGCTGGCTCATTTGGTAGTTCTGTTATTAATTTTTTCAAGAAACTTCATACTGTTTTCCATAGTGGCTACCCATTTTTACATTCTCACCAGCAGTACACAAAGATTACAATTTCGTCACTTCTTTACCAACACTCGTTGATATAGATTTCTTTTTTTTAATAGTGTCCATCGTAACAGGTGTGATGTGATATGCATTTCATTTCCCTGATGATTAGTGATATTGAACTTCTTTTCATATACTTGTTAGATATTTGTATCTGTTCTTTGGATAACCATCTATTCAAATCCTTTTCCCATTTTTTAGTCAAGTTATTTTTATTTATTTATTTATTTATTTTTCTCTTGAGTTGTAGAAGTTCTTTATATATTTGGGATATTAAGCCCTTATAAGACATATGCATTGCAAATATTTTCTCTCATTCTGTAGGATGCTTATCGTTTTGTTCTTTTTATTTGTTTATTTTGCAGTGCAGAAGCTTTTTATTTGATGCAGTCTCAA